CCGTATTAACAGGAGAAGAGGCGCAAGTGAAATTAGACACTGCCGTCGGAAAACATGCAGTAATTTATAAATGTTTTAAATGAGGTTGGGTCCGGATTAGCCAGCAGGTGGGTCTGGATCCGGACCGCGGTCCGCTAATCAGTGACCTCTGCTCTACACTTTATTTATTTGGCAATAATTCACATGAATGGATTCAGTTTTTATTTGAAGCTTTTTATTTTATTGTGTTTTGAGCAGGAATCTTATTAGTTTTGAAGATTAACAATTTTATATCAGTTTGTAATAATATACAGTCCTACCCAGAAACACAACCTCTATCTCAGAGGTCACAGATTCCAGGCTAACAAGAAAGCCAAACGACCCCCATTCCAAAGGAATGGATCCATTCATTCGTTTAAATTTGCATGTTTTCTAAGCAAAAAGAAGGCTTTATTGGGCTACTGTATAAAACCTGGAATTCAACTCTATTTCTGACATTTTAAATTGAAAAAGCTTCCTGGATGGGAAGAGAAATGTCTTCAAACTTGGAAACAAAGTCCAGAGGATTGTTTTTAATTTTCTTTTTTTGGAATGGCTATGACCTTGATGACAGAGAATCTTCACCAGCGTTTTTAAAAGAATCAACAGCAATCATTCAGCGTAAAGAAGGAGGCAAAGCATTGCACAGCCTCTGAGCCTCTGATCGATCCCCTCTGGTTTTAAACGAGGGTGGAACCACTAACAATGTTTGGCCCTTTGACCTCAGATTATGGGACGGAACATGGAGCTCTATCAGCCCAGAGATGCAGGGAGGAATTTGACCATGCAGGGCTCTAACAATAATTAAAGGATTTTAAATTGGATTCTATACTGGACTGGTAACCAGTGCAGAGCTGCTAATACTGGTGTAAAATGTTCTCTTTTGTTATATGAGTTAAAAGCCTTGCAGTAAAGTTGGAGACGGTGAAGCTCCTTATTGTTTAAACAAGTAAAAAGACAGTTTCAATAGTCGTGAGGAGATAAAGGTATGAATGAGGAGTGAATAAGAATAAATGCCTTATTTATCAGAATTTTAACTTTAAAAAGTTCCTCTTCATGGTTAATGTGACTGTTAGATCCAGGATAGGAACATTTCTGCAAGAGTTTGGGTTTTAAATATCCTTACAGTCTGTTTTCTCATGTTTTTTCTTTCCAGGTTTGGGTCATCACAACATCAGCTCCTGTCCGGTGGAAGTGGGCGGCGATCTCGCCGGCGTGGAGGTGCAGCAGATCAGCTCATACGGGGACTGCAGCCTGGCGGTGTCTAGAGACGGCCAACTGTTTGGCTGGGGGAACTCAGAGTATCGACAGCTGGCCTCGGTCAGCGAGTCCACGCAGGTGAGGAAGACTGATCCTGGTTTGATGTTTTAAACTTCAACCTCAATGTCTGACAGTTTTCGTTGTTTTTCGTACCTTCTTTAAATAAATGAGGTTTGATCATGGATTCAATTTCCCAACATTTGTGTTGTGCTGTGTTTCTATGTCGGAACATAGATAAGGTTAAAAAGCTTTAAAATTTCATTTCACAAATAAAAAACTGCTTATTTAAAGTTGGTTTATAGAAAAATAAATGTTCGACATTTTGCATTAAAAAAAATAAAGTTCTACCATGAAGAATATTTGAAGAAAAAAATTTAACTCAACATTGTTTAATATTTATTTCCGTGCACTTTGGAGGTTTTTGCAGGTTTTTTGAGAAATATTTCAATAAAAAATAAATATGTTTATATTTACTTTTTACTTTATTTACAAATGTGCACTTTAATGCCTCCATTTAATGTAACGTTAGCCGGCAACAGATTGGTAATATATCTGTATTTGAATATGTTGTAATGATTGTCAGTATTTATTTACAAATTTTTTATTTCTATAATTATATCAGTATTACTACCAACTTCAGCTGTTTGAGGCTGCAGGTGAGAAATCAGCCAAAGTTTTGTTCGGTTTTCTTCAAAGCTGCATTACAAGCAAACATGCATCCATGCATGCATCATGCTCTAAGGCCTGCAGAGAATAGATGAATGCATGAAGCCTAAGGTGATTTTGGGGGAGGTTGAAAGCTGTGTTAAACATTTTCCACTTGTAGACATTTTATTTCCCTCTCTGTAGAGTGATGGGCTTCTAATGACCTTTAAACCCTTCCTAGATTAACTGCAGCAACACTTTAATCATAACTGTAGGGAAATTCAAAAGATTCACATGGACTTCAGGTAGAAACAGGAAAACGGGAATAAACCAGCTTGCAGTCTCAGGCCCCTGTCGCACCTTGCCGATTTATCCAGCATCTGCCCGACTTCCCAGAATTTCCTAAAACGCTGCCATACGCTGAACTTTCTATGTATTTTTTTTTATTTTGGGTGTGTACCGTATTTTTCTGACTATAAGTCACACTTTTTTTCATGGTTTGGCTGGCCATGCCACTTATGGACTCTGGTGGAACATGTACATGTTTTTTCACCAAGAGAGGGCGCTATATATAACAATAAAGCGCTATATATAACTGTATAAACCTTTTTATATATATACATATATATATATATATATATATATATATATATATATATATATATAT